CCCAAGATAGCTGGCTTTGAACTGCCATCCTCAGATCTCAGCCTCCTGACTAGCTAGGATTACAGGCATGGGCCACCGGTGCCTAGCTACAAGACTTTTTTTTTTTTGAAGTTTTTCTCCAATTTTTTTTTTTATGTCTTCGCAGCTAGGTGCCGGTGGCTAATGCCTGTAATCCTAGCTACTTAGGAGGCTGAGATCTGAGGATCGTGGTTCAAAGCCAGCCCGGGCAGGAAAGTCTGTGAGATTCTTATCTCCAATAAACCACTAGAAAACTGGAAGTGGTGCTGTGGCTTAAGTGGTAGAGCGCCCACCTTGAGCTGAAGAGCTGAGGGATAGTGCCCAAGCCCAGAGTTCAAGCCCCACGACCGACAAAAAAAAAAAGTCTTTGCCTTTGATCCCTCTGGAATTTACTTTGATAGAACAGATGAAGTATGAATCTTGCTTTCTGCAGCCTCGCAGATGTCTGTCCAACATGCCACTGTGTGCCAGGGCCTGCTGTCACTCAGGTTTCACACGTGCTCATTGGGCTCTCCTTCCTCTGTTTCTTATAGTTGTGGGGTCTCCTCAAGTTCGTTGCAGTGTCCCATGCAGATCATTCTCCTTAGTCCTTCAGAACTTGAAGGTTTTACCGCTTGTCTATCGGGTTAACCTCACTGTTGTTTTCTTGTGTTCTCTGAGAAACTTTGATGTTTCCTTTTATCCTTGATTGTTTTATCTAAGAACAAGATGTGCCTTTCTGTATATTGAAATGTACTATTATCCTCAAGAGTTTTTCTTATCATTCTTTGTATTTATTTCATTGTTTTTGAAGATACCATAAATAGAATCTAGTCTTACCAGCTTTTAAAAACATAGATGTATTTATGGTTTTTGTATATAAATTTTGTAATTGTCCAGCTCACTAAGTTCCTAGTAGTGTTCCTGAAATTCATTGATTGCATTTCTAGGCATTAAATCAATTATGTCATTTGTAAATAGTGACAGTTGTGGCTTCCCTTTTCTAATATTTATGCTTACTCCTTATTCTTGTCAAGTTTATTAGCTGATATATTAGAAAAATGAAATTAATAGTATTGATATTGACAACCTTGCTTCATTTTCTTTATAATTGAATACAGCTCTGATTTTAGTATCTATGTTATGTCCATCTATTCTCATATTACAACGGTTTTTTGTTTTTGCTTTTGTTTTTGTGCTGGACCTAGGGTTTGAACTCAGATCTTGTACATTGTCCCTCAGTATTGATGCTCCAGACTAGCACTCTACCACTTCAGACACAGCTCTTCTTCCAGCGTCTTACTAGTTAGTTCAGGGTTAGCTTTGAACCTTAATCCTCAGAACTCAGCCTCCAAGGTACTATACTAGGCACCTGGCTTACAAAGTTGTATTTGTGAGGGGAGGGAGGCAAGAGGGCTAGGAATTGATACCTACTTCTTTTTAAAAACATCTTTTAAGCCAGGCGCCAGTGGTTCATACCTGTAATCTTAGCTACTCAGGAGGCTGAGATCTAAAGATCTTGGTTCAAAGCAAGCCTGAGTAGGAAAGTCTGTTAGACTTTTATCTCCAGTGAACCACCAGAAAACTGGAAGTGGCACTGTGGCTCAAGTGGTAGAGTGCTTGCTTTGAGCTGAAGATCTTAGAAACAGCGCCCAGACCCAAAGTTCAAGCCCCACGACTGACAAAAAACATATATGCATATAGGTCCAAGGTTCCTATCCTTGGAACTTAGTGCAACAAGCATACCCAACTGGTAGACTGACTCTATGGCGTGAGTCTGCCTCTTGTAATTTTGGTTGGTCGTGGGGCTTGAACTCTGGGCCTGGGTGCTGTTCTTCAGCTGTTCAGCTCAAGGCTAGTGCTCTACCACTTGAGCCACAGCACCACTTCTGGCTTTTTCTGCTTATTTGGTGCTGAGGAATTGAACCCAGGGCCGCATGCATGCGAGGCAAGCGCTCTACCACTGAGCCATCTTCACGCCCTCTTTTTTTTAAGATACATTTTTTATTGTAAAGGTACATGAGTGAGGTAATGTATGCATTTCCTATCAAGCATTGTTACCTCCTCCGTTGTTTTTCCCCTATTATCCCTGCCCTCTCCAACTCCCCCCCCCACTTTCGTTCTCATCATAGTGTCATGTGCATTTCATTGTTACAATGGGTCAATCTGTATCCTTATTTCAGCATTTTGTTATTTCCCCTCCCCAAATTAGAAAGAATGGCCAATAGACACTTGAAGAAATGTTCAACATCCCTAGCCATAAAAGAAATGCAAATCAAAACAACATGGAGATTCTACCTCACCCCAGTTAGAATGGCTATAACCAGGAACTCTAATAACAACATGCTGAGGGGATGTGGCCAAAAGGGAACCTTACTGCATTGTTGGTGGGAGTGTAAACTTGTTCAGCCACTTTGGAAAGCAGTATGGAGGTTCCTCAAAGGACTACATATAGAGCTCCTCTTTGACCCAGCAATCCCACTTTGGGGCATTTACCCAAAAGATCAAAAACAAGGCCACACTAAAGCTACCAGCACAAATATGTTTATTGCAGCACTAATCACCATAGCTAAGATATGGAACCAACCCAGATGCCCCTCAGTAGATGAATGGATTGTCTGTATCTTTATATAATGCATCTTCTAGGTTTTACAGTAGGATATGTCTTTTAAAGAAGAATTAGAAGTTAATTGCATTTCAACAGTCTTTGTATTAAAGCTAACTTTTTAAAATAGCATTTCTCCAGTTTTATTTTAGACTGGTTTTTGCCCGCAACTTAAATTCATAGAAAATTTTTTAGCCATCAGAGTTTATTATTTATCTTCATTAGGCAGATTTCTTTGAGACTCAGGTTCCTTAGTGTCATTGAGGGTAATGCAGCTATTTCGTTTGTTGATGTAGAGTTGTCTTGCATTAGGTAGGTGTTCAATGGTTATTGACATTCCTTAAGAGAGAGGCCGTGCAGTTATTTGTGGTGTGTTCTATCTGTAAGTCGCTCTTCTTTTTAAATGCCTTAAGTTTTTCCCTTGAATCTACACATTTATAATGTATGTATAAACTTAAAATTTTACAATTAGAAAGGCAGTAAGCAGATTCCGAATGTTTACTCAGGCATGAGGCAGATGGCAATCCTATAAAAAGATGGCATATATTTTCAGAAGTGCAAACAGAAAAATAGATACTCTTAAAATTTCCAGCGTAATCTTTGCCTAGAAAATGTAGGAAAGAGATAAAGATCATGTGGCCTAATAGGACTTTTTATAGACTTAATGTCTAGGACTGTTTCCGCAAACTAGGATTGAGTTGTCTATGGTTGGGAATGTAAAAAGGAAGAAATATAAAAAGGAAGAAAAATAACTGCTAAATTGTAGTAGCATCTCTGCTTTTCTGTAGTATGGATATGTGGTAGTGGGAAGCACTGAACTGTAAACTTAGGCGGTTAGTCAGTGCTCAGGGAAGTTGCTCATGAGAGGGAGACAGGCCTGGGCAGAGGGGCTTCACAGGACCCTTACACTCGGTATTGAGAAGCACTTTATTTTTTATGCAATGTATTCAAAACTATAGTACATGATAGTAAGACTTTTAAACTTCTTTTTATGGAGGCGATACTGCTGATCCTGACAGGCTGTCTGATCTGAGTGGGTTTTAGTAAGCATGGATTCCTTGCAGATTCCGTTTACACACCAGCCAACTGCTCTTGTCTCTCCTCCTCACCTCCTACCTTCTGTTGCCATTATGTTTCATATGGATTTTTACTATAAATTTCCATTCATAGATCTGCCCTCCCACCAGTGAGGGGGGTGGGGGACATAAAGGGATTGGGCCTGCATATGACAATGAATTGAACCACATTGAATTGCCAAGGGACTGAGTGGCTGGAGCTCCAGGTGAAGAGGCCCAGCCTGCAAGCACTCATTGTCACTGTCCCTCTGCTCTGGGCGTGGGGAATATGGGATGGATGAGCCTTGTTCTCAAGGGACTCACTCAGGAGTACAAAGGGGACATTTCTAGACAGCTTCTCACATGTCGGGTGCTGTTAAGGAGTGGGCTTCATGTCACTCCCATGCTGTGTTGTACCCTCCCTCTTGAGTGTCTTTCTAGCACTCAGCAAGGTGGTGAGCAGAGCATGTGATCAGAACTTGTGGCTGAGATAAACAAGGGCTAGACAGAGCAGGGAGGGAAGGGAACATTGGCCTGTACAGTTAGAATAAAATAAAACCAAACTCATGCAGGCACAAAAAGAAAGGATGGTAAGTGTGGGGTAGTTTTTGAAACACCATCACACATTTGCCACCCCTTCCCCTCCCGCCATGGTACAGGCTGTGAAGCAGAATCTGAAGTTCCCATGCTGCCAGGCGCCGGTGGCTCACAGCTGTAGCTGCTCTGGAAGCTGAGATCTGAGAGTTATTGTTTGAAGCCAGCCTGGTCAGGACACTCAATGAGACGCTTTATCTCCAGTACACTACTCAATAAAACCAGAAGTAGTGCTGTAGCTCAAGTGGTAGAGTGCTTGCCTTGAACAAAAGAAACTTAGGGACAGTACCCAAGCCTAGAGTTCAAGCCCTGCGTCTGGGGGTAAAAATCCTCATGCTGACTGTGTGTTTGATTAAGGCTTTCTACTTGATAGAAAAGAGCTGTACCACTTGAGCTGTGCTTCTGTCCTCATTTTCTATTAGATTATTATTATTTTTTCAGATAAGTAAGGTCTTTTTGCCCAGGGTGGCCTAGAACCACAGTCTTCTTATGTGTGCCTAGTTGGGTTGGCAGGAGTGGATCACTAGGCTCAGCTTGTTTGTGTGTTTAAACAGGGTCTACTAATTTTTTTACCTAGGCTGGCCTTGAACTGCTCTCCTGTGCAGTAGCTGAGAACAGGCTTGAGCTATCATGCCTGGCCAGAGTTGTCATTCTGAAGAAAAAAAAGATTTGAAGCAAAGGTTTAAGATCTTTTAAGATCGAAGCTAAACTCAGTGAAATAAAGCTATTTCTCTTTCCTTTCAGAGAGTGGCTCCAAAGGTTAAATGAACCTGGAAAAAGACATAGATGCCGCTTTGCAGCCTCTCCAGATGTTTGGGGATAATACTCCAGAGAGAAACTGATCCTTTCGGATTAGCGGTAGCTAGTCATAATGAAGAAAATTAGTCTTAAAACCTTCCGGAAATCTTTTAATTTGAATAAAAGCAAAGAAGAAACTGACTTCATGGTAGTCCAGCCACCGTCATTAGCCAGTGACTTTGGAAAAGAAGACTCCTTGTTTGGTGGCTGCTATGGTAAAGATATGGCCAGCTGTGATCTCAACGATGAGGAGAAGGGGGGGAAACCCAGATCCAAGAGCGAGAGCTTGATGGGCACCCTGAAGAGGCGGCTCTCGGTGAAGCAGAAGCCTAAAGGCAAAGGCAGCACGCCCCCTGGGGGGGGCTCCGCCGATGACGACACCTTCTCCTCCTCCTCCGCCCCCATCGTCTTCAAGGATGTCAGAGCCCAGAGGCCCATCAGGTCCACCTCCCTCCGCAGCCACCACTACAGCCCCACACCCTGGCCTCTGCGGCCCACAAACTCCGAGGAGACGTGCATCAAAATGGAGGTGCGAGTCAAGGCTTTGGTTCACTCTTCCAGCCCCAGCCCATCCCTGAATGGCGTGCGAAAGGATTTCCACGACCTTCAGTCGGAAACTGTGTGCCAGGAGCCAAGCATTCCACTCAAGAGTTCTGATTCCCCCACGGGAGACCTGCGTCTCCACCTGGACGATCACGTGCCTGTAGTTATTGGACTTATGCCTCAGGACTACATTCAGTATACCGTGCCTTTAGACGACGGGATGTACCCTTTGGAAGGATCGAGGAGCTATTGTCTGGACAGTTCTTCACCCATGGAGGTCTCTGCGATTCCTCCTCAGGAGGGAGGGAGCTCTTTCCCAGAAGAAGAGAATCAGGTAGACCAGGACCTCGTCGTTGGCCCAGAGATCTTTGTGGATCAGTCTGTGAATGGCTTACTGATTGGCACCACAGGAGTCATGTTGCAGAGCCCCAGAGCAAGTCATGATGATGTCCCTCCACTCTCACCATTGCTACCTCCAATGCAGAATAGTCAAATCCAAAGGAACTTTAGTGGACTCACTGGCCCAGACGCCCATGTGGCTGAAAGTATGCGCTGTCATTTGAATTTTGATCCTAACTCTGCTCCTGGGGTTGCCAGAGTGTATGACTCTGTGCAGAGCAGTGGTCCCATGGCTGTGACAAGCCTGACAGAGGAGCTGAAGAAACTTGCAAAACAAGGGTGGTATTGGGGACCGATCACACGCTGGGAGGCAGAAGGGAAGCTGGCAAATGTGCCAGATGGCTCTTTTCTTGTGCGGGATAGTTCTGATGACCGTTACCTTTTAAGCCTGAGCTTTCGCTCCCATGGTAAAACACTTCACACTAGAATCGAGCACTCTAATGGTAGATTTAGCTTTTATGAACAGCCAGATGTGGAAGGACATACGTCTATAGTAGATCTAATTGAGCATTCAATCAGGGACTCTGAGAACGGAGCTTTTTGTTATTCAAGGTCCCGGTTACCTGGATCTGCCACTTACCCTGTCAGACTGACCAACCCGGTGTCACGGTTCATGCAGGTGCGCTCTCTGCAGTACCTGTGTCGTTTTGTTATACGTCAGTATACCAGAATAGATTTAATTCAGAAACTGCCTTTGCCAAACAAAATGAAGGATTATTTACAGGAGAAGCACTACTGAACGATTGCAAACCCTGCATCTTGCACTTTGGGAATAAGAAAAAGAGATTGAAATACAGTTTACAAACTTTCAACGCCATCAAAATCCTTTGCTGCCATAACTATTTTAGTTTTATGTGTAAAAGCGTCATAGATTTCTTTAGGGGTAGGGAAGTGTCTTCAAGGTGTTGTAGGTTTATTTTGGTTCTTTAAAAAGGGTTGTCTTGAGGTTCTAGAAGTGTGAATTACGTTCATTGCAGAATAATCACAATGTGAATTATCAGATTTTCCTTAATCCCCTAGTCCTTTGCTGCTATCCACTGTGATTTTTATGCATTAAAAGCACATTTCATGTGTATTCAACCCTAAGTTGAATGAAACTTAGCAAATGAAAATTGCTGTCTTTAAATAGCCCGTTTTCAAATGATAATGTTGAATAAACGTGTGTGTGATAAAACACTGAAAACGATTTGTTAATCTCATACTATAAAAAGATGATTCAGAAATATGAATTGGCATAATCTTGGCTAATGGAATGCAAATCTACAACACGTTTTACACACTTTTCTAAATTTTTTAAGGTATGCTAAATTTTTTTATTATGAAAGGTAGGATCTTTCTGTTGCCTTCATTTTCATCTTGTCTCTTTTAATAAATGGCCTTACATTAAAATTGTAAAGAAATATATACCACCAGTTCAGAAATTGTTGCCTTTTCTGTCCTTCAACTCGGGTACAAGTTGGCCTAAGTTAAAGAGTCGTGGAACCACAACTGTTGTTGTAGAAATAAAAGATAACTGTACTCTCCTGAGCACTTTTCTGTTATCTAGACTTTGCTTACATGTTTCATCAGATTTCTTTAGTTTACTCAGCCTTTTTCTTTGGTGAATTTGATTGTACAACTAATTTTCATATATGGATTATCTTATAACATTAGAAATATAGTTTTAAATGGATTTGACTATAAAAGCTTGTTTTACAGATTTTGTTTTCTATAGTCACCACTAAAAGGTGCTAGATCTGACCACTTGCCCCCACTTAAAATGAACCATAATTTTTAGAATATCATGTGAGAAAAATTGTTAAACCATATCAACTGAGTGGAAGTCCTTTTTCCTGTCACATATGCTACCAATTAAAAAGACAGAGTGTTTTTTCCCCCTCTGCCAGCCGAAGAAAGGGTATAATGCCTAATCATTTCTAGTTACTTTGAAATCCAGAGCATTTATTCAGTTCATGATTCTGTGATGTATTTAAAGACTGCCCCAACTGGGAAATGCTCCTAGTGATACAAGCTTTAAGGAAAAGTATTCCATCTTCAATGGAGCATGTAGTTTGAGATGTCTCTTCCTTTTGTGACTTCTAGTTTTCCTCTCTCACCTCTTCTCAATAAATACAAGGAGAAAGCTTGGGTCAAACAGACTGGCTTTGCAATTCATATATAACAATCTGTTTTCTATGTGTTTCTTCAGGACAGAATTGAGATCCTACCAATAAAAGGCATAATGCCATAATATGATGTGGTGGTATTTTTATTTAAAGGGGAAAAGGTACTTAATATTGGTGGAATGTTGATTGTACCTTGTTACAAAGACTCATTTTCTATTATGTTTTCCCCTAATGAGATGGAATATGAGATATACTATAATAATATAATTTAAGTGTTCACTATAAGCTATTTGGATTAAGAACTATTGCAGAGTTGTAGGCATGTCAAATTAATGCAAGACATTTAGCTATTTTTTTGCAGAATTATTTATTTTTTAAACAACTGAAAATATATCTAGGATAAGTTGAAAGTCCCTGTGCGTTTGTGAGATCAGGTGTCGTCACGGAGTTGCTGTGTGTTGATGGTAGATTGTCGAGATGGCTTCTCTGTGTGTCCCATTTCACATCTCCCCCCAGAGCCCATGACGTACAGAGGTCTCCGAACCACCCCAGCCTGACTCACGGATATAGGCTGGCTTCAGTTTTTCTCACAATGCCGTGTGTTTGATGTACCCAGTTAGTCTCATTTTTATTCAGATACTTTAAAAATTGTATTTGCTGTGCTCTGGAGGGCACGTTTGAGGTTCTAATGGGAAAAGCCATTAGAGGAATGTGCCCTGTTCTAGTCCAGTTTGAAATTGTTAGTTCTTGGAGAAAAGTCAGTGAACTTGCTAAGAAATTAAGTTTACAAGCCGACAAGACGTATTATGACATTTTCTACTTTTGTGTAGATAGAGATCCACTTGACATCATAGTCCAGTGCCTTGCGGGCATCTGACTTCGTCTGGGAAGAGTGGACAGTGGGGAAAGAGAGAAGTCCTCGTCCTTTAGCAAGTCTCCATACAGTTGGGTTAAAACTTTGGATTCGGTTTGTTATCTTGGATGATGTAGACACAACCTGTGAGTGATGCTTAACAATCTGAAGACAAAATGAGAATGCTCTATCCATTTATTGTGACGGTTGAATCAGGATTTTTAAAATTAGATATTTGATCACAAAGCATGATGGAAGCTGGAAAGTGTTTTGAGGCTTCGGACAGTGAGCTGTTGTCACAGGTAAGAAGGCTATAGGAAGTACTTGAAAGATCTTTTTCTCTAAGTAAAACAGTTCTCTTTTTACTTGGTGCAATAATGAAAAAACTTAGATCACTTCTACCATCACCGGAAATGACCATAGAACTAAAAATGTTTTAAGGAAACCAGCTGTACAGAGCAGCCTCTTGCTGTTGAATAAAGTTCTGTGCCCAAAGCATATATCATTGGCTTATAGGAAATAAAACAGAATAGGTATGACAGTTTCTGAGCCAGTATTAATTGAAACAGGATCCAAGTTACTCAGATCTTCATGGTTTCTGTAGTCTGTCTACTAGTATTACAAGTCTGTCTTAGCAACAGTGCTTTCAGGAGCATGGCTAAATTACTGTATATTTCATATTTCTGAGAGATACCACTTCAGCAAAGATTCAGAATAACGTTTTGATTTCAATCTTAAATTTTTCATCGAATGTGAAGTGTTGATTGAAAGTGAAATCACACTACCAGCAATAGACAGTTTTGTTGAATTAGAAGGAACAATACCCAGTTCCATAAATAACATTGAAATTATAAAGGCACTGGTACGTTAATAATCACAAATTGTTTTCTTAATACTTTTTTAATCTTGTAAAGAAAGTTTTTATAAGCATCCTTTTTATTGACCAATCATAACATGGCAAAATGTATAATTGCTGTTTCCAAATGCTACATGCAGAGATGAGGAGAAATTCTTAGAAAATTTTGTAATAGCATACATGTTGGGTTAAAGAAGTCTCACAGTTATTGGAGTGCCATGAAATTAATACTTGCAATCCAGATTGCTGTAGTTTACACTTTTTCCTGTGTGTTTCAAATCAGGTGTGTACCATTTGTACTGAAAACACCACAGAATGAGCTATCCAAAGTCCATTGATTTTAATATGTGTTTTGGTTTGTAAAAGAATTATAGTAATTTCTTGCACATTTTTGGAAATTGTATAAGATTTTATGTATCTACTTCTAGATACAGTGTGTAAATAAAAATCCGTTCACAAGATCTGCCTTGTCTGTTTTCATATCTTAGTGGTCTGGTTTTACTTAGGAATTACATGTCTGGATGCACCATGAACTGGACAGGTAGAGTAGGAGCCAATACAATAAATACAATACAATAAAATACAATAAAGAGGGGAAAAGAATTAGGAGTCAGCCAATGGTGCAAATGTGCCAGAGTACTTAACATAAAGGCTGGAGTGAGTTAGGAGGACATTGTCCTAAGCAAAAAGACTAAAGTGACCATAATGATGAAATCAATCGTACTCAAAGAAGGTTAAGCAAGTGATAAAACATTTGGGTTAGGACTTTTAAAAAGAATATCTCCTATTAAATAAAATTTTGTGGAAAGGGGCTGGGAAGGTGGCTCAGAGGTAGAGTGCTTGCCTTGCATGCATGAGGCCCTGGGTTTGATTCCTCAGCCCCATGTAAGCAGAAAAAGCTGGAAGTGGAGCTGTGGCTCAAGTGGTAGAGTGCTAGCCTTGAGCTGAAGAGCTGAGGGACAGCACCCAGGCCCAGAGTCCAGGCCCCACGACTGGACCCCCCCCCAAAAAAAAATTTGTGGATGGTTTCTTAGGCACACTATTTATATGCCTTTAAAGTTCTGAACGTCATTTTGGAGTAAAACAAGTACTTACCTTATATGAATTCATTTTTGTAGTCATGGCTGGTTCACATGCGCAGGCCAGGAAGGATCAGTGATAATAGTGTAGTCTCCAGAGTGGAACTCTTGCTTACCATTGACCTGATCCTGGAGATGGTTGCTTTTTAAGTGAAGTTTTAATTCTCAGCCTGCCTTTTTGTAAGTTCATTCTATTGCTACAAAAAGAGTTCCTGAGAAATGTTTGCAAATTCTAGAAGCCTACTAGTAGCACTGAGATGAGAGTGGGTAGCTAGCTATATCTGCTCTCCAGGAAGACGGGTCCTGCTGCTGCCTAGCAGAGACCTGTAATTCATTCTGCTCCACAGCTAATTCCTTCTACTCCCACCTTCAAATTCTTCTACTTTCACCAGTTTTTAACGTTCTGGATCATGTTTGTCTTGTATTTCAATCGGATTTACCTCTCAAAGTCTGCTTTTCTGGCCTCCATTATAGATTCCCTCTCCTCTTTATTCATTAAAGCCCACTTTATTTAAAGTTCACTTTTTTCCCCCTCTTTTGTCAGTCGTGGGGCTTGAACTCGAGCTCTTCAGCTCAAGGCCAGCTCTCTACCATTTGAGCCACAGCACCACTAAAATTCACTTTTTAAAAAACATTTTTCCTGATCTCCAGTTTGAAAAGTTACCTGAAGCATCTTTTTTTTGTATATTTCTTTTTTAAAAAATAAGTTTTTTATTGTGAAAACACAGAGGTAAAGGTTACAATCACATGAGCAAGGCAATGAGTACATTTCTTAACAAGCGTTGCCTCCTTTGCTGAAGCATCTTTTTAAAGAAATTTGACCCTTTCTCTTCATCTTCCTCCCTGCCCCTGCCATGGGACTTGTCTTGCTGATGAGCATTCAGTGTCTTTAACATTTCGGCCTTGTGCTGTGCCTTCCCTCCACTGGACAGGTTTCAGGCATTTCACTGATGAGACAACATCGTTCCATAGGGGCTTTGTTTCCCAGGCCAATGCCCCTTGGTAGAGGTAGTGGATTTGCTGGAGTGGGAGTACTGTGTATATTTACCCAATTCAGTTCTCAGGTAAACTCTGAGGCCTGGGATAGAACCATTGGCATGGTGAGGGGGTGTGGGGGGGAGAGGGAGGGAGAGAGAGAAAATACCTGTTGCATGTTAGGGTCTGGCTATGGGAGCAAACACAGCGGTCCCCAGGACTTACCAAGCCTAGTACTAGCAAAGAACCCATAGTGAGCAGCTGGGTAAGTGTTCCTCTTGTTTGTTACAGCTGACTTTTGCAGCCAGGTTCCCAGAATTACTTCTGAACAAGGCTCCACTTTTCCTTAAATCCAGGAAACCTAAGCACCACTTGTGGCCAGGTCATAGGATGGTCCCTTATGAAAAGCTCTCTCAGATTGCGAAAGCTGAGGAGAGGCTAGAGTGGAGTACTTATAGTTTGGCAGTTACGGGATTTGGACTTGCTAGGCAAGTGCTGTACCACTTAAAGCCCTAATCTGTTTTGCTTTCGTTACTTTTTCAGAAAGACCCTTGGAATATCTCCAGTGGTTCAAATACAGAAAGAAGCTATTGCTCTGCAACAAACTAACATTCTTATTTAATTAATATTTAATTAAATTCCAGATGGGACCAATATAGGAAAAGACAAAGCTATCTTTGCTCTGAGTCTACAGCCCTTGCTCCTGGGTATGGCCACTGTGCTTGAATTCCAGTATCTCTCCAATGCTTCAAAGCTGATAAAAATTATCTTTGCTCTTTATCCTTCTCGCTGTTTTTTTTTTTTTCCTCCCAAGATGCCTTTTTTCAAGATGTGTTTCTTCGTTTTGGTCTAAGGTTCTTGATGTCTTACCTTCATGAAAACTTTTATGTGGACAGTGACTTAATGGGAATTTCCATGAGATTCCTTGGATATTTTTCCTTTGTGCTATCTTCCTTTATAGGATTGGGCTCCTGAAGTCCAAGATGCTTGAGTAGCTCTAAACACAGTCTTGTTGTGTGGTAAGTCTGCTTCGTTGGCTTGAACTCTCCCTGTGGGGGTGCTGAAGTTTGGAAAATGTGCCTGAGGCCGAATCCAGGATCAATGTTGGGCTGGTGTCTAATGTTTCCCCCTTTTAGAGCACTGCTTTCGACATGCTTTCATTCAGTTGTGTTTTGTGGAATGGTTATCAAAAATAGCTCCATAGCCAGCCCAGGCGGGAAGACTGCGAGACTATCTCCGATTAACCACCAAAAAACTGGAGGTGGTGCTATGGCTCAAGTGTTAGAGCGCTAGCTTTGACTGCAAAAGCTCAGGAACAGCACCCAGTCCCAAGACCGGCACAAAAAAGAAAATTAGTTTTTCATGATCACTGGGAGTCATCATTTGACATGTCTACTTGTCCACATGGTCACTTTTTCCTTCTGCCCCCAGTTTCTCCTGGCCCTAGAATGAGCTGGTAACACGAAACATATTCTAAAATATGATTACATTTAACCACCGGACCTCAGAGCAAGGCATAAGGGCTGGGACAGTAGTGGAGAGACACCTCTTGATTCCAGAAGAATCTCAGATGAAATGAAATTCAGAGTGACCAAAATGAATTCAAAATTACATCTTATTGATGCTGTGTATAGCATCAATAAAATGTTCCTTAATCAAATAGTCTTTGGTGGTAAGCTGAGGCTAGTGATTTCTTTGATGAGGTTGATTGTGAGGGAAGGCCTGACACATCTCTATTTCTGGAGACGAAGTCCAAGGTTAAAGTCCTGGCAGGGTGGATGTGGGATGAGGGCTCGTGTCTTGGGCTGCAGCCAGCCCCTTCTTGTAGTGTCTTCCTGTGTTCTGCGCTTAGTGCAGGTGGGGATGTACATTGGAGTATGTAAGGGTCGGGAGGCCTTCTCTGGTGACCTCACTGTATGCTAATTCCCAGAGATCCCACCTCCAACACCATCACACTGTGGGACAGGTAGGGATTCAGACCACCACCAGTGGTAAATACAGACTTTAACCTGGAACTGTTGGAGTGGGAAGTAGACTGCCTTGTAGATTTAGGCTCAGTTCCAAAGGCAGCATGGAGGTGGCTCAGATCTCAGTTGAGCCTCTATTCTGGCTTCTTTTTTTTTTTTTTTTTGGTCCGGTCGTGGGGCCTGAACTCTGGGCCTGGGCGCTGTCCCTCAGCTCTTCAGCTCAAGGCTAGCGCTCTACCACTTGAGCCACAGCACCACTTCCTTTTTTCTTTTTGCTTATGTGGTGCTGAGGAATCGAACCCAGGGCCTCGAGCATGCAAGGCAAGCGCTCTACCACTGAGCCACCTTCCCAGCCCCTCTATTCTGACTTCTTAACCAGTCTCTTGCCTGCTTTGTGTAGTTCCAGACTTGTCTCCTTTTCTCACATTCAGTTCAGTGTTTAGTTGTAATATTTCTGGTGGATACTAGGGATTATTGTGGTTTAAAAATTGTGGACAAACAATCCTCCCCTTTCATTTTCTGAGCAAACACACTTTCTGTGGATTGGAAATAATGCTTCAGGTAAATTGTTCATGCTCTGCTTCTGTCACCCCTAAATCCAGGAGTGTTTCTATTAGAACTTAGTATTTTTCCTCTTCCCAGAAATAGCATTTTCACTAGTGTCACACTTATACATGATGTCCCAATGTCTAATAAAATTCCCTTTTCAAAAACCAAATTGGACTTTGGTGGTTAAAGATTTAATTCTAAAATATGTCTTAGCATGTGAAATAGATTAAAAGTAGAAAGAAAGTTTAAGTTACTAAAACTATTCTATCAATATTTCAAGTATGTACACTCTTCTTTCCCTGGTACAGCAACATCTTTTCTAGAGGCTCTCCGAATGAAGCCATCTTAATGAAAATGATCTAGCAAGGCAAGAGGCAAAAAAATATACTTTGCTTTGCTGGGACCCAGGGAATTTCAGGAAATGGGTTAGCATGACCAGGAATAATTTACAAAGTGATTTTTTTTTTTTACAGCGTTGATTGGTTTTTGAGCCATTCTCTTGATTAATGGAGGCAACTGCCTCTTTGTCACTTGAGAATACTTCTTCAGCAGTCAAGGAGGTAGTGAAACCAAACATTGATCTTTATCCTTTGGTTATGGGAAGGATATACATGTAATTTGCTTATTAGAAACTGTGTTGCTTTTGAAGATTCCAGCTGGTAAGGACAGTGAAAGTGTGTAGGGGTTTACATTTATGACTCCGAGTCCATCTCAGAGTTTCAATTCTCACTACGCGTTTTTTCCTAGTAATATTGGCTGATAGTTGTTGATTGTCTTAAAATGTGCCTTAGTTCTCTTTGTGGATGTGTGTTTTTTTTAAAACTACATCTAAGGAAGTAGTTTTTCCCTGTTTAGAATTTAAAGACAATTGGTGGAATCCAGAAATTCA